CAATGAACAGGCAGACACTGCTGCGCGGTCAGCAGTACATGACCTACCAGTTTCATATAGAGGCGTTCCATTTATGGACTATTTTGCTGTAATAGCTATCCACCTTCACACCAGTTGGCAACAACGTTGGTCTAATCTACTCGGTAACAAACTTTATTCTGTTAAACCGAGTATAAGTTAATGGCCGTCTTCTTGTCATCAGTGTCGAAGTTGGGAGACTACTCTCTCCTGTCTTCGCATTGGCCACACTCGTCTTACTCATGGGTATCTCACGGAGAGGCACCCTGTTCCTCTCTGTGAGATGTCAGGTTCCAGTATCAGTTAGCCACATTCTGTTAGACTGCCCTCTCTATCAATGAGCACACAGAATTTACCTCTGTCGTCGTCTCCGCTCTACTACTCTCTCTTTACCTTCCCTTCCTGCTGATGGACCCTCTAATCCTGACTCTCTCATTGACTTCTTGACAACAACTGACTTACTCCACAAACTCTGATGACGATACCTTTCGCACTCCCCTCAGCCCTTTATACCTCAATCTCTTGCTACCCTCTACCCCTGCACTATCCACTGCCCTGCTGTTCTTTGTAACCTACTAATTATCCTTCTCCCTTTTGCCACCTGATACCCCCGCTTCCTTCCTGCCCTGCAGCGCTGTATAGCCCTTGTGGTTTAGCGTTTCTTTTTGATTATAATAATAATAGCCTAGCCACAGAACATCATTAATTAGTATTAATAGAATAACTTGCTATGCAACTCTAAAGCAACAGAAATAACTATTGGTACAGGTGTAGTAATTATGGCTGTGAGTAGTATGTCTCCCAGTCTAGCTGCTCATGAATGTGTGTATAAGTGGCTGTGAGAAACTTGTTTACTGGTGAAAAACACAATTTTCCCTATCTTCCTTTAATGAAGCAAAATAAACCAAGAGAACCTACTGCCAAATCAAGGACAAGCAAGCTATATGTCAGAAAGGTGGTTTGAAAACAACCCCCGTCCTCCTTGATGTCAGGATGATGCCTACTCTGGTATACAGTACTGTACTAACTTTACACTATAACTGAAGAAGCTGTTGTGATTTTTTTTCTTCAACAAGTTGGTTGTCTCCCACTGCAGCAGGGTGACCCAAAAAGAAGGAAAATCCCCAAAAAGAAAGTACTTTCATCATCATTCAACACTTTCACCTCACTCATACATTATCACTGTCTTCGCAAAGGCACCCAGATACAACATTTCAGAAGCATATATAAAGATATATAACATATCCCTCCAAACTGCCAATATCCCAAACCCCTCCTTTAAAGTGCAGGCATTGTACTTCCCATTTCCAGTACTTAAGTCTGGCTATACAACAATAACCAGTTTCCCTGAATCCCTTCACAAAATATTACCTTGCTTACACTCCAACAGCACGTCAGGTCCCAAAAACCATTCGTCTCCATTCACTCCTATCTAACATGCTCGTGCACGCTTGCTGGAAGTCCAAGCCCCTTGCCCACAAAACCACCTTTACTCCCTCCCTCCAACCTTTTCAAGGATGACCCCCTACCCCGCTTTCCTTCCTCGACAGATTTATACACTCCATTTCATTCTACTTTGATCCATTCTCTCTAAATGACCAAACCATCTCAAAACCCCTCTTCAGCCCTCTGACTAATACTTTTATTAACTCCACACCTCCTAATTTCCACACTCCAAATTCTATGCATAATATTTACACCACACACTGCCGTTAGACAGGACATCTCCACTGCCTCCAACCTCCTCCTCGCTGCAGCATTTCCAACCCAAGCTTCACACCCATATAAGAGTGTTGGTACCACTATACTTTCATACATTCCCTTCTTTGCCTCCATAGATAACTTTTTTTTGTCTCCACATATACCTCAATGCACCACTCACCTTTTTTCCTTCATCAATTCTATGAATAACAAAAAAAGGCACAATACTGTGACTGGAACGATACACAAATAACCCCGCACATAAAAGAGAGAAGCTTACGACGATGTTTCGGTCCAACTTGGACCATTTACAAAGTCACACTAACCAGTGTGACTTTGTAAATGGTCCAAGTCGGACCGAAACGTCGTCGTAAGCTTCTCTTTTATGTGCGGGTTATTTGTATATCAATTCTATGATTAACCTCATCCCTCATAAACCCATCCAGTAACGGGTCAACTCCCAAATATCTGAAAACATTCACTTCTTCCATACTCCCTCACTCCAATGTGATATCCAGTTTTTCTTTATCTAAATCTGTAGATGAATGGTTCACAGAACCGACACGTTGATAAATTAGACACATGTGCAACTCTTGGGTATCTTTATTGAGGAAACGTTTCGCCACACAGTGGCTTCATCAGTCCATATACAGGAGAAGCCTTAAGAACAGGAGGAGAATGAGGTAATCAGTCCCTCAGCCACATTGGGCAAATGTGACACCACCTACGTCTGCTGCACCTCTCCTGCCTACGGTTTATGAGCTGCTTCTCCGCTCATATGCCGTATTCTATTTAGGATTGATGGACTGACCACATCGACTCAAGGCTGAGGGACTGATTACCTCATTCTCCTCCTGTTCTTCAGGCTTCCCCTGTATATGGACTGATGAAGCCACGGTGTGGCGAAATGTTTCCTCAATAAAGATACCCAAGAGTTGCACGTGTCTAATTTATCAACGTGTCGGTTCTGTGAACCATTCATCTACAAACCTGTCAGACACTGCAACTTCTTGGGATCTTAATACTTGGGAATTCTTCGCTTGCCTAACCCTTGGGCACGACCTACTTCCACATTGGGCAAATGTGACACCACCTACGTCTGCTGCACCTCTCCTGCCTACGGTTTATAAGCTGCTTCTCCGCTCATATGCCGTATTCTATTCAAGATTGATGGAGTGACCACATCGACTCAAGGCTGAGGGACTGATTACCTCATTCTCCTCCTGTTCTTGAGGCTTCTCCTGTATGTGGACTGGCGAAGCCACTGTGTGGCGAAACATTTCCTCAATAAAGATACCCAAGAGTTGCACATGTGTCTAATTTATCTAAAACATTTGATAGACTAATCACCTTATTCTTATCTATGTTCACTTTGAACTTTCTACCTTTACACACCCTCCCAAACTTGTCCACTAACCTTTGCAACTTTTCTTTAGAATCTCCCATAAGTACAATATCATCAGCAAAAAGTAACTGTGTCAAATCCCATTTTGTACTTTATTCCCCATAATTTAATCCCACCCATCTCCCCAACACCCTAGCATTTACTTCCTTCACAACCCCATCTCTAAATATATTAACCCTTTCAGGGTCCAAGGCCAAAATCTGAAGTGGTGCCCCAGTGTCCAAGAATTTTCAAAAAAAAAAATTGTTATTTTTTCTTATGAAATGGTAGAGAATCTTTTTTGTGAATGTAATAAAACAAAAAGTACAAAATTTGGTGGAAAATTGACGAAATTATGCTCTCGTGAATTTTGATGTGTCAGCGATATTTACGAATCGGCTATTTTGCCGACTTTGATTCCCATTTTAGGCCAATTACATTATTCCAGTCGACCAAATTCTCAGCTATTTCACTAGTATTACTTCTATTCTATCGATTGAGCACAAGAAATCGCCAAGTCAACTGTTTCAACTACAAAATAGAGTGACCGGAAATTGGTAATTTGGCCAATTTAACACAAAGTTCAAAATATTCCAATTTCAAAATAGGGTCCAGAATAAACAATGTAGGTATTCCTGGCACTAAACTAACATTTCCTCTGTTCATTAGTTATGTTTTGAGGCTTTACAAATAAATTCCATTTTGATTTTTTATTCACATAATGAATTTTTATTCACACCAAAAAATAGAAGATTTACTGTTATGCAATACTGTAATAATTGTATAAATATCATCACCACATTTGTGAATGTATATTAGACCCACCAGCTGGCGTGTATTAGACGTGTGAGGTTGTTTGTTTACTCTTGAACATCGGCAAAAATTTAACATTTCCGCCACTTGGAGCTCAATTTCAAGCCATTTCCAGTGCTAACACCAATCAAAATTATCTCTATTTCTATAATATGTCTTCCATTCTATCAAATGAGACCAAGAAATCACAAATACAACTATAAAAAACATACGAAAAAACACTGCAAAATCACTGTTTTAATCGAAAATCATGGTCTCAGTTTTTTTCTCTCATTATACACAGTGTGCTGCAGGATTTGTTTTATGTGGTGCACACATACCACATAGATGTATTCTCTCATATCTAGGCCCAAATTTACCACTCACAGTTTATCAGAGTGAGCTGAGCTCATGACGTAGATCTACGGTTTGAACCCTGAACGTAAAGCCGTAGATCTACGGGACGGACCCTGAAAGGGTTAAACAATCATGGTGGCATTACACATCCCTGTCTAAGACCTACTTTTACCGGGAAGTAATCTCCCTCTGTCTTACACACCCTAACGTGAGCCTCACTACCCTCATAAAAACTTTACAGCATTTAGTAACTTACTACCTATTCCATACACTTGAAACATCTGTCACATTGTTCCCCTATTCACTCTATCATATGCCTTTTCTAAATCCATAAATGCAATGAAAACTTCCCTACCTTTATCTAAATACTGTTCACATATATGCTTCAATGTATACACTTGATCTACGTATCTCCTACCCACTCTAAAGCCTCCTTGCTCATCTGCAATCCTACACACTGTCTTACCTCTAATTCTCTCAATAATAACCCTACCGTACACTTTTCCTGGTATACTTAATGCAGTTATTCCCCTATAATTTTTACAATCTCTTTTGTCCGCCTTCCCTTTATATAAAGAAACTATAAATGCTCTCTGTTGCGATTATCAACATGAACAGTCTTTCAAGCTGGAAATAAGTTGGTTTTTTATTGAGAGGATGTGTGTGTCTGACACCAAAATTTTATCATATGTTGATAAAGTATAATGTACAAGTATCATCAAAGTGATTCTTTGGTACTTCCCTACAGGAAGCAGAGTGCAAGAGGATAGAAATGAAACACAACAGGCAATATGGCTGAACTAGTACTCTGAATGACATCAGTGAGCAGGTATCTTACAAGTGACAACTGACGATCTGGCCTCTTACCATAAATATTTAGGAACATCTGACTCATAAATCTATAGGGGAAGGAAGGCGGGGTAGGGGTCGTCCTCGAAAGGGTTGGAGAGAGGGGGTAAAGGAGGTTTTGTGGGCGAGGGGCTTGGACTTCCAGCAAGCATGCGTGAGTGTGTTAGAAGTGAATGGAGACGAATGGTACTTGGGACCTGACGATCTGTTGGAGTGTGCGCAGGGTAATATTTAGTGAAGGGATTCAGGGAAACCGGTTATTTTCATATAGTTGGACTTGAGTCCTGGAAATGGGAAGTACAATGCCTGCACTTTAAAGGAGGGGTTTGGGATATTGGCAGTTTGGAGGGATATGTTGTGTATTTTATATGTATATGCTTCTAAACTGTTGTATTCTGAGCACCTCTGCAAAAACAGTGATAATGTGTGAGTGTGGTGAAAGTGTTGAATGATGATGAAAGTATTTTCTTTTTGGGGATTTTCTTTCTTTTTTGGGTCACCCTGCCTTGGTGGGAGACGGCCGACTTGTTGAAAAAAAAAAAAAAAAAAATCTGACTCAGGTGGGGGTATTGCATCCTCTGAATTAATGCTAAAACAAGTTATTTATTTCTACTGTATAAGTTAAGGTTACATGCATTAAATATAGTTAGGCACAAAGCCTGCCAACTTCAGGATGTGTATCACCTGTATACCAATGATACAGATGCACATTAATCTCTAAACTATAGGTTGACAATAAGCTCTCAGACAGCCTCATGTCATCCTGATGTATTTTAATAACACTTGAGAACACTACTTATGGTACTTAAAATGAGTAAGGAAGTATTTCCTGCATTATTAAATGCTGGACTAAATTTACCCTAAAACAGGCTGCATACATAAACTGGGACACTTGTACATGGAGTGAGGTAACACAAAAAAAAAAATTGGCATAAATTTAATTAGACAGCATATATTTGCAGCTTGAGACATAAGCATAATTATTCTTATTTGGGAAAACGGATATTTGTGCTAAAATTTAAAGAATGAGAGCTGATTAACAATAGCAAACAAAAAAGGCACAGATTTCAAAACAAGCTTATATGGGGACATTTCACTGTGCAGAGCTTTACCACATCATCACCTGATACAGCTCTATACAGTGAAATAGCCTGAATGAAACCCCTTAAGGGAGATTCCTTGATGCCAATGAGGGGTTCTTGATTGAAGAAACTGCCTCCTATTACCTTAGGTGTTGAATAACTATGAATGTAAATACTGTAAATTGGTGAATTTCAATGGTTTGTTATTTTCTCTTACACTACACCTATGGGCAATGTTACAGATGCTGCTTATGCATAAAGTTCATACATACACTAGCAGCAGCAGCAGGAACAACAGCAATTTCTGCCCATCTCTCACCTTCAGTTACCTTGGGGCTACTGTACGAGGTTGTGTATTTATGTGCTCTCGACCCCCATACTGAACTTGTTAGATTGTTTGGCAGTTTATATTTTACTTACCAGTGATCATAATGGGGCCCTAAGCTTAGTTATGGCACTGGTTTGACATACTAGTAAGACATCAAGGTGAGTTGGGTAATTGGAACTGGCAGTGATGAATGCAGCAGCCAATCTCTCTCCCTCATAAGGTTTCCAAGAGATAGCTAGCTACTGAAAGGCAGAAATTTACCTCTCCTTGCAGATGAGTTAATAAAACATGAAGCAATGAAGAATTATTTCATCACAGCCAATGTCTTCGCAAAAGTAGTTGTAAGAACCATTCAACACCGATTCTAAATACAGTGAGAAAATGGTAAAGCAGCCTGAACGTTTAAGAATGCTTTAGGGGTGAGAAAAGGAGGGAAGGGCTTTATTTCCTTTCTAAGAACCAAATGATGAACAGTGATTGAAACTTAGAAGAGTGTGGACCAGGTGTTTACAATGAAACATATAAGTGAACAGTATTTAGATAAGGCTAAAGAGATCTTTGTGGCATTTATGGATTTGGAAAAGGCATATGACAGGGTGGAGAGGGAGGCAATGTGGCAGATGTTGCAGGTGTATGGTGTAGGAGGTAGGTTACTGAAAGCAGTGAAGAGTTTTTACGAGGATAGTGAGGCTCAAGTTAGAGTACATAGGAAAGAGGGAAATTATTTCCCAGTAAAAGTAGGCCTTAGACAAGGATGTGTGATGTCACCGTGGTTGTTTAATATATTTATAGATGGGGTTGTAAGAGAAGTAAATGCGAGGGTCTTGGCAAGAGGCGTGGAGTTAAAAGATAAAGAATCACACATAAAGTGGGAGTTGTCACAGTTGCTCTTTGCTGATGACACTGTGCTCTTGGGAGATTCTGAAGAGAAGTTGCAGAGATTGGTGGATGAATTTGGTAGGGTGTGCAAAAGAAGAAAATTGAAAGTGAATACAGGAAAGAGTAAGGTTATGAGGATAACAGAAAGATTAGGTGATGAAAGATTGGATATCAGATTGGAGGGAGAGAGTATGGAGGAGGTGAATGTATTCAGATATTTGGGAGTGGACGTGTCAGCGGATGGGTCTATGAAAGATGAGGTGAATCATAGAATTGATGAGGGGAAAAGGGTGAGTGGTGCACTTAGGAGTCTGTGGAGACAAAGAACTTTGTCCTTGGAGGCAAAGAGGGAATGTATGAGAGTATAGTTTTACCAACGCTCTTATATGGGTGTGAAGCATGGGTGATGAATGTTGCAGCGAGGAGAAGGCTGGAGGCAGTGGAGATGTCATGTCTGAGAGCAATGTGTGGTGTGAATATAATGCAGAGAATTCGTAGTTTGGAAGTTAGGAGGAGGTGCGGGATTACCAAAACTGTTGTCCAGAGGGCTGAGGAAGGGTTGTTGAGGTGGTTCGGACATGTGGAGAGACTGGAGCGAAACAGAATAACTTCAAGAGTGTATCAGTCTGTAGTGGAAGGAAGGCGGGGTAGGGGTCGGCCTAGGAAAGGTTGGAGGGAGGGGGTAAAGGAGGTTTTGTGTGCGAGGGGCTTGGACTTCCAGCAGGCATGCGTGAGCGTGTTTGATAGGAGTGAATGGAGACAAATGGTTTTTAATACTTGACGTGCTGTTGGAGTGTGAGCAAAGTAACATTTATGAAGGGGTTCAGGGAAACCGGCAGGCCGGACTTGAGTCCTGGAGATGGGAAGTACAGTGCCTGCACTCTGAAGGAGGGGTGTTAATGTTGCAGTTTAAAAACTGTAGTGTAAAGCACCCTTCTGGCAAGACAGTGATGGAGTGAATGATGGTGAAAGTTTTTCTTTTTCGGGCCACCCTGCCTTGGTGGGAATCGGCCAGTGTGATAAAAAAAAAAAAAAAAAAAAGTGTTAATAAATCATATGGAGACTGTTTATGCTGTGCAATTACTGTATGGAAAATAGTGTGTTATGTCACATCTTACATACAGTGAAAGCCTGGTTTGCTAGATGTAATATACAGATCTTGGATTGGCTACTGATCTTAATCCAATTCAGAATGCCTGGAGCCATCTTGAGGGGAAGATTAGAGATCTCATTATCTCCCTTGTACTACCTCTGATTGAACTAAAGAAAATTTGGATCACAATAGACAATGATTATTTCAAGAATATCTATGATAGTATGCCTTCAAAAATTAGAGAGTAATTAAAGCTGAAGGAGGAATAAAAAAAATTAGGTTAAAACGCTAAAATAAATTTTCAGTTCTTTGCATTATTTCTTTTGATAATTTTTTATGCAAAATGATCAAAACAGGCAAGATATCAAAGATTTCTCTGCTTCAATGATTTATAGGCACTAAGTCCTATGAATCATAAGTGTTGTATATAAACACTTCATGAACACTATAGAAAACACGGTTGGCCTAACACAGGTCTAATGTCAGAGCTAGACAATGTCTGACTGCACTGCCTTGCTGTTGAGGAAACACTGGTCTGGACATGATGGGAGGAGAGGGATGTTATGAATGATTGTTCCAGTGGAGAAAACCAGTTTATGTAAATAGGCAACAGAAAATGGAATTTACTTGGGAGTAAATGTAGAAGTGCAACTGAGCTAAGGAGTGGGGGGGGGGGGTTAGTTTTGGTGTTTGAGGAGCATAACCGATAGGTTTTGATTCCTACAAGTGGTAATTCCCATAAAGAAGTACGATGAGTAGACAAGAAAGACACATCAAACTAAGCTCTTATTATAGCAATGTTTCACTCGGAGCTTCATCTGCTTATGACTTGATAAACCTCACCCTGAGCCAAACAATGTTGCAGCAAAGGATTACACTATTTCAATTTCAGTATAAAAAATTTGGTAAAGAAAAGAAAGTGATAAGTTTTAAAAACTTTAAACAATTATTGAAGATATTCCTGGGGATATTGCAGTTTGGAGGGGCATCTGAACTGTTGTACAGGCATGCCTCTGGCAAGACAAGTGAAGGAGTGAATGATAGTAAGTTTCTTTTTCGGGTCACTCTACCTCAGTGGGAGATGGCTGGTATATTAAAAAAATTGCTAAAACTTATTGTAAGCAACAGAGAAAGTGAAAACTTGACATGTTAATAATTAGAAAAAGAAATTTAATTTCATTACCTGGACCCCTCGTTTAGAGAGGTGTTCAAATAACGAGCGTCTGATGAGCAGCATGTTGGCAATCTTGGCTATCACATTGTGCCACCATTTACATTTAAAGTGACTTGCATATATCCTGCAAAGAGAAATCAATTTTTAATATTGCTAACATTGAACTGTCAGTGTGACCTCTAATTATATGCCTTGTAATTCATACTAGTTAAATATATATACACGTGTGTATGCTGAATGGAAATATATTTAGTGTATTGTAATAAGAATGCAGTACGATATGTGCTGACAACTACAGGGAACTAGACACACATCTACACTCAAGACACATTTTCTGAACTTGTTTGTCCTGAGATCTTGAGCCCTTAAAATACATGAGTATGAGAATAGAGGCTATACAGTGAACCCCCCAAGTTTCATGAGCCTCCCACTCCCTGAATTTCGATTTTTGGCCACTTTTTTCGTCAAAGCCTCACGGTTCGTGATTTGCCTCTTGATTCGTCCGTTGTACAAAATGCATCTGTGCAGCCAGGAGCAGCCAGGCATACACAAGGGCTCCCACACAACATTCAGGAGTCAGTGTGGCATTGTTTGTGGACAAGTGACCATCACCCCACGTGTTCATACGATACATTTCATAATAACCCATTCTTTTTTGTGCTTGCAACTGCTAAATAAGCCACCATGGGCCCAAAGAAAGCTTCTAGTGCCATCCCTTTGGTAAAGAAGGTGAGAAACAAGATGGAATTGAAGAAAGAACAAGGTACTTCCCCACACACGATTTGATTTGAGTAGGACTTTGGCATGAGTAAATAGAATTATCAAAGCTTATTGCTTAGGCAGCATTGAAAATTGGGTTGGGCAAATATTCTGTTAGTGGACTGGTTTGTGAAGGACCTGCCTAGTATGGGCCAACAAGTCTGCTGCAGTGTTCCTGCTTTCTTATGTTCCATACACCAACAAAAGTCTTCAATAAAGGTAAGTGTGATATTATTATTGTTTTATAGTTGATTTCACATTCTTTTCTGTATGTAAATCTATATTTAATCTATAAAAAAAAATTTTTTTGTTAATACTTTTGGGTGTCTGGAACAGATTAGTTGGATTTACATTATTTCTTATGGGAAAAATGGTTTCGAGTTTCGTGAATTCTGACTTTTAGTAGACTCTGGAACGGATTAATCAAGAAACTCGGGGGTCTACTGTATACTGATATTTTAAGTGTATGCATTAGTGACAATTTCCTTCTATTAAGTATATTCTGTAATTCTGTTATACTGTTCTTTAATACAACAAATGCTTTCTGCCAGTCCTTGGGTGCCTTCCCTTCTTTCATACCTGTACTGAATACAACCAACCACTCAAAAACTGTATCTCCACTTGCTTTTAATATCTTAATCCTATCTGTCCCAGCTGCTTGACCCCCTTTTATTCTGCCCATTGCCTCGTGCTACATTCCCCACAGTCAGAGATAAATGTGGGGGAAGTGCGAGGTTGTGGCAAGACTGAGAGTAAAGCAGCTGGGTTAGATGGAATTAAAATGGAGATGCTAAAAACAAATTGAAATACAGTTTTGGAGTGGTTGGTGTATTTGTTCAGTATATCCATGAAAGAAGAGAAGGTTCCTAAGGATTTACAGAGTATGCACAGCTCCTTTTGTATAAGCAAAAAGGGAACAAGTGTGTGTAAGAATTATCTGGAAATAAGCCTGCTGAGTACACCAGGTAAAGTGTATAATAGAATTATTATGGAAAGCATTAGAAGTAAGACAGAAGCAGAATTGTAAAGGAACAAGGAGTATTTAGAATGGGTAGGGGATGTGTAGATCAAATATTTTTACACAGAACATAACTGAGCAATACATAGATAAGGGTAAGAACTGTTTGCATTTATGGATATAAACAAAGCATATGATAGGGTTGACAGAGTGGCAATTTTGCAGATACGTATAGTAAAAGTATGGAATAAACAGGAGGTTACCTAGAGCAATAAGAAGTTATAAGGAGAGTGAGGTCCAGGTTAGGGTATGCAGGAGGGAGGGAGACTCTTTTTCAATAAAAGTAGGCTTTAGACAGGGGTGTGACATGACTTAACCCTGGTTATTTAACATACAATAAACACTTGATATAACAGACTAATATGGGGAGAGGGGGGGACTGTCAAGTGTCTTAAATCAGAATGTTAAAAAATAGCAATAAAATGCACTGAGGCACTCTACTTTTACCTAATATAGTACTGTACACACAATATACAGATAAAGGTATTGCATTAAGCATTGAAAATAAAGGACTTAGAAGTACAATTTACCAATGGATTTTTGCCCATAATTTTAATAAGTCAGTTATATCGAGGTCAGTTATATTGAGAGTTTACTGTGTTTACAGAAGTGTTAAAGGAAGTGAATGGTAGTGTGTTGAAAACTGGTTAGTTAGCCAGACTTGAGTTCTGGAGGTAGGAAGTATAGTATGTGTGAGTGTGCTAGAGTGAGTGGAGGCAAGTTGTTTTTATAACTTGACATGTTGTTAGTGTGTAAGCAAAGTAACATACACAAAGGGATTCGGGAAACTGGTTAGCTGGATCTAGTCCTGGACTAGATCCAGCTGACAGCACTCTTAAGGAGGGGGTGGAGATATTTGCAGTTTTGAATTGTAGTACAGTATCAGGGTGCCTCTGGCAAGACAGTGATGGAGTGAGTGATGATGAAAGTGTTTCTTCTTTTTTTGGTCACCCTAACTTGGTGGAAGAAGGCTGGTATTAAAAAAAATAATGAAGCAATAGCTATCACAGTTGCTGTTTGCTGATAATACAGCTCTTGTGAGATTCTGGAGGAGGCATAAAGGTTGCAGGAATTTAGGAATTTATTCCCTAAGTTTGAGCATAGCAATTGTTGCTCAGAATGAAAACCAACTTGCTGCTCTTTTGTAAGCTAGCCCCATTCTTTAACTGGGGATTGCATGTACACTAATACATAAATTAAACTATATACTGTACATAATGCTTTATCTTCCTCATTAAGTTAATGTGCTATATAAGCACTAAACCTGTAGGGGTCATACAGTCCCTGGGGGAATGAAAGGAAATTAGAATTAATTCAAAGAATGGGATAGCTCCAATTATGTGGATAAAGAGCTCTTCAGCATCCTCTCCCCACATTCCTCCGTTGAAGGGCTCACATGCTATAATTAGTGTAGATACTCACTTTACCATATGGACTGGCATAAATATTTCCAAGTGGGTCTCCTTGAGTGGCATAAATGGCAAGATGCCAGTGTAGAGCTGCAACAACATGAAGCACACTCGTCGAGCACTGAAGAGCAGGCACACATTGGGGTTCTAGCAAAAAAATATGGAGGTTGAATTAACGTTTAGGATCTCGTGAACGCACGAGCAACACTTTGAGTGTTGCACAGTAATGCACTTAATAATGTCTAGGATTATATATATAGCAGATTGATTATACAGCCTCTTTGTATTAGGAGGAAGAAGAAAATGAGGAAAATGATTGAGGAAAACAAAGTGAAGAGGACAGTGACAACCCTGGTATAGTACGAATCTTAACTAGTCATAAGTTTGCCTGTGATACTCCAGTATATGATACTCCAGTATATGATACTCCAGTATAGGAGCTTCAATAGAAACTATGTATTGTACCAAAACAAAACCATTCACATTGCTAAATTTGAGAACTGTAATGCAGTTACTTAGCCTTAATACCAATATGCTCCTTAATCTGTACCAATATAAAGTTTTGAATTACACTGTACTCTTAGTCTGCCCGAAATGCCTAGTCATGCTAGGTGTGATAGTGGCCCCCTCTATAATTAGTTTTATATAATATGTAAACCACACAATATCTCATATGTAAACCCTACATTATAATCTTTATATAGAATAAACTTGATCTGATTTGATTTGATTTCATTAGTATGCAATATACGTACTGGACACGAGGTAAGCCAGTGGCTACAAAAGATAAAACCGTAAAACAATTATTGTACAAGGTTACCTATAGCTAAAAATTAATTCACTATTCAAACCAATTATAACCATTATTGCTTCAAAAGCAATAGCATAATTATATTTATAAAAAATACTCGAAATCAGAGAAGTAAATATTTAAATGGCTTTTAACCCTTAAACGGTCCAAACAGATCGACATTCAAATTCGTAGTGCTACAAAAGTAGATCTACTTTTTTTTACATATTTTCAAGTATAACAAAAAAAAAAATGTAGATAAAAGTTTTTTTTACAAGTTTTCAAATGTAAAACAAAAAAGATGATCTACATTTTTTTGCATACTTTCAGATGTTGAAAAAACGTATATATATGTTTGGACCGTTTAAGGGTTAAAACAAAATGCAAAAAAAACTAAAGACAAGCATTTATAGTATATACAGTGGATATAACTGGTAAATCAAAATACAGTATTGCAACAAATATATGTTATTTTACTGTTGACCGTACTAAACATCAGGGGTAACAGATAGTACTTGTACACAGAAAGACAGGCAGAGGTGTTGGCAAATATGAACACAATAGTTATATACAGCAAAGCAGTGATTAGTACGAATCTGAATAGCATGTTGCAGTTTAAAAACTGTAGTGTAAAGCACCCTTCTGGCAAGACAGTGATGGAGTGAATGATGGTGAAAGTTTTTCTCTTTTTGGGCCACCCTGCCTTGGTGGGAATCAGCCAGTGTGCTGATAAAAAAAAAAAAAAAAATACAAAATGATACCTGACTTTATTAACCCTTTGAGGGTCGACAGGCCCTCTCCGAAACTCGTTCTCAGGGTCGGCCAAATTTCAAAAAAAAAAAAAATTATTTTTTCTTTTAAAAAAATAGAGTTTTTTTTTTTCTAAACAAAAGGGGCTAAAAAAAATTTTAAAAATTTAGAGGGGGAGGGGGAAAATTGCCAAAATTAACCAAATAGGGTAAATGGGAAATTTGGGTTTTTTTTTTTTAAATTTTTGGTTTCCCATTTTAATTTTTTTAACTTTTTGGGGGTTAATTTTATTTGGCCTCTGGGGCCCAAAATGATCAGTTTTTTGTAAGTTATTTTTTTTTCAATAAAAATCAAAAGGGGGGAAACACTGTTTCATTTTTTGTTTAAAAAAATATTTACACAAACAAAAAATAAAAATGTTGTTTTTACTATTTTTTTAAATTTTTTTTTATACACATAACACCCACAGGACATGTTTCTAGAATTTTTGCACCTGGGGAACTTTTTAAAAAACCCATGGGTCATGCACATTTGGTTTTTGGCACCCCTCACACATAAAACGAGTGTCTCTGCGTTTTTTCGGGGGCTTTTTTTTGAAATTTTAACAGACGTAACCCCCTTCTGACCCTTTTTTCTTCAAACAGTAGCAGGCATTTTTAACCAGGAAGTGATCCCCATCTTAAAGACAGCGGGTAGTTTTTTGAAAAATTTTGGTGGGGGGTCAATTGCAGGTGCTTTTTTTCCTTGGTACTTAAATTTACTATTTTTCCTATGACAGACAAACAGAATTCGCCGAAATTTGGGTTGTTTCTGGTGCTCTTTTTTTTAAAACATATTAAAAGGGCTTTGACCCAAGGAAAAAGTCCAGAAGAGGGAAAAAACAGTTTGAGTACCACTTATAACTTTTGGCGAACACAATCAGAAAACCCAATCTGCTGTCAAAATTTGCCCAAATAAACGCTTTTTGGGAAGGGGTAATCAATCCCCAAGCTGCATTTTTTTAGAAGGGGTTTTTCATTTCCTTTTCTATGCTGCCTGCCACTTCTCCTTTTTCTTTAGGTAATTAAAGGACAACAGTGTGACATTTTCGTTTGTAAACCCAAAACCGAAATCCCCATAAAGGGTCTTTGGGAAGCAAACCCTTTGCACCTCACCCTGCGGGGGCCAGCATCAAACCTGGCAATTTTTCTTGGAAACCGGCACTGTGCCCCACACCATCTGTAAATTTTTAAAAAAAATTTCGAAAAAAATCCGGGGGAGTGAGGGGTTTTGTGAAACATTTTATCGTATTTAATATATGCCCCTTCCCAAAGGTATGGTTCTTCATTGTTCAAAACCACATCACCTGAGATGCCCAATAATTTCCGGGTTTTTTTGGGAAATGTATTTTTTCCATGTACACAAAATTTACCCAATTTACCAGCCCACTGAAACCCTTCACAAAAAACAAACAACTTTTTCCCAAAAAGGGGGCCCTTTTCGGGGTATTACTGCTTGAAGGTTCCCCCTTTGAACAGAATCAAAACTCGTCAATTACAAGTTTCCCTAAAGGGAAAATAAAAATGAGTACTGAATTTCTTTTTCAGATACACAAACACATTCCTAATTTTATATAACCTGCCCAGTTCTGTCGGCCCCGGTTTTATCTGAGAATGAAGCAAAACGAAACTTTAGCAAAAAATCGATTCACGGGCATTATATCACTGAAACCGGGGTTTCCCAATCAGGGGGGTTAAATGCCAAAAGATTTCATTTTGTGCTTATACACAGTGGCATAACCCTTATGGGCAAAGAAAAGATACATCCAGCCACTTTGCCCCCTTTCCATTGGGTGTAAAACGTGTTTTTGGTGAAAGTATTGTGTTTCCCAAAGGTTTACTCGGGGAGTGTTGCTTTTCCATGAAAATTTACTTTTCATCAGGGGTTCGCAAAGAATAACCCCGAAACATTCCATTTCAGGGGAAATTTTTCCCAAGGGGGCACAAATGGCCGTATTCCCATTTTGCTGCCATCAAACTGGGGGGGATTTGGAAAAAAATTTGACAGCTTCCTCCCAAACCCGGGTCCCGGCTGCTGGTGGGTACTGGACAATGACAGGGGGTTTTGGGGTTTTGGTGGAGGATTTTTGGTTGTGGAGGCGGGTGTGGTGGGGAAAAGGGGGGGAGGGTGCCTTTTTTCTAGATCGGGCTGGGGGCCCCCCGGCGGGGCTGGCAGCGTGGGGGGCGGGCATGGCCCACTGCTGGTGCCTCACCCCCGGGCACCACTACCCACCACGCACATTTCCACCCCAATTGCAACAGAAACTTCGTCTTTTTCACGTCGTTCTTTGTACACCCCACGGGATGTACCCCGAGATACACCCCTTTCCCCCTTGGTATAAATAGGCCCAATTTCCAGAGCGCATAAACGTCGTATATATGACGCTTCACTGGGGAATATTGCATTTCCACTATCACTACTGGAACTATTTTTGAAGAGTTTAAAAATTTCATTTTCCCACTTTTCACTATCATACCCCAACTTCTCATCTGATCTGGGTTTTGGGGAAAATAGAATTTTCCCTTTTTGGGTTCGGAAAAAAAACGGGAACGTGAACACGGGGGCCCGCACCAAGGTTGGAAGGCTGAGGGCCTGGGTTTTTTTACTATTATTCCCCGAAATTAGGGTAAATTAGTTTCGTAAAAACCTCACAAAAACCCACAAAACCTCATTTTTCCAACTGCATTTCCCATCACTATTAAACTTTTCACGGGGGAAAAAAAAGTGTCCCAATTCGCCGAGGAGTGGGACCCTTCTTCCCGGGGCGGGGCATGGGGGAAACAATTTTAAAAAACTAAAGGGCCCCCCACAATGCACCACTGGGTCCCAGATTTTTTTTCTACTGCGCACCCCTGACCCCCGGCAGCCCATTCTCTCACACCTAGGCCTATCACCCTTTTCCCGCGGAGTTTTTGAGGCCGCAAAATTTATGCGAAACCTAAACCAAAAACCCTACGCAAGACGTACTAGTACGACAAAAAACCCTCAAAGGGTTAAAAGGCCCAAAATTCAGTTAGCATATTTTTCCCTGCCCCCCCCAAACTTGCTCCTGCTGCCCATTTTTCACCAGCCCATTTTTGTAAAGTATGGCTTTGCCTTTTGGGATGCAAAGACGTGTTTGCAGCTTTATAAAATACTTTAAAATGTAGGGGCCCCTTGATAATTGAAAGGGCTCGATAGTTGAAATTTTTCAAAAATTTTAAACATTTTTTTTGGCCCCAAAAAACTTTTTGGCTCGGGGAATGGGCATTTGACTCCCAAATATTTCTTTGCCCCCGGATGCTTTACACATGGCTCCAAGCCCCCTCACCCCCCCTTTCCCACCCGGGGTCCCCATTTTTTTTCCCAGTGAGTACGGTCCCCTCACTTTTTCAACAAAAATATTTCAAATATTCCTTTCATTTTAGTGCTTGAAACCCTGTTAAATAACTACCATGGCTCCAAAGGAAGCTCCAAATTTGCCGGGCCCTTTTGGAAAAGAAGGTGAAAAATGCGATTGAATTCAAGAAAAACATCATTGAAAAAATATGAAAGGGCGTACGTGTGGCTGAACGGGCCATAAGTAAAA